TTGGGTCTGGTGTGAAGTGTGCCGTGTATTGGTTCTGGTCTGCCATGTATTGGTTCTGGTCTGCCATGTATTGGTTCTGGTCTGCCATGTATTGGTTCTGGTCTGCCATGTATTGGTTCTGGTCTGAAGTCTGCTGTGTATTGGTTCTGACCTGGAGTCTGCCGTATCTTGATTCTGGTCTGAGGTCTGCAATGCATTCTGCCATTTAGCTCACTTTCCAAATTGCCTATATTGGTCTAGATTCTGAAATTCTCCTACCAGTTCCCAGGCAATTCATCTTTTAGTGAATTAGCCCACTATTTGAAAAGTAGTGTGGAGAAAAAATTCTGTGATACAAGAATGTTTATGCAGGTGGGTCTTTGTGGGAGGGGCTTGTATATGGGCGGAGCATAAGGGGTCCCCATAATCTTGCCCGGGGGCCCTATGTGTTGTCAGTCCGCCCCTAGTAACAACTCAGGTTGCACTTCACACCCAAGCAAGTGTTGCTATCATCATCCTATAATGATAGCAAAGAAGTCCTTAGCTGTGAAATGCGTGGCCTAGGTCATGTTTTATTGATGTCAACTATCCTGCAATTTGCCTGGCTGGATCTTAGGTCTGGAAAATCTAGGATTTTTTTTTCATTAATGGTCCTGGTGCCTATGTAATGCATTTGATAAGCATTAAAAATGTTTATGTGAAAAATACCGCAATTAAATATTGTCATTTTAGGATATGCTGCACGCTGCATGTCAGTACCGGCGGAATAAAGCATCTCTTTATAAAAGTGAGCATATGAAAACAGAACCAGAGTATATCTCATGGACTGGTATGTATAATGGTTTACATAAATTGTTTTTATTTACCCGTAAATATGTGCTTATTGTGAATGGGTGCTTTATGGAGTTTTACGGGTAATTTATTGTCCTAACTTTTAAGTGGCAATATTTTAAAGTTCATTTTCAGTAGATTTTTTTATTGAACATTTTGGGTATCTGTAAACATGGGGTACAGAGAATCATATGTGTATACAATTACATTAAATTGTCAAACAGTTCAAATACTAAGGACAGGGTCTGGTAAGGCTCATTATTATATGCACAGTGCATCCATGGATTGTCTCAATGAAACAGGAGCCACTAAATCTCACGTTTAGTTTATTAATCTGTACTGAAATTGTAGCCCATCACAGGAGCGAGCTTGGAGTGGTGGCACGCACACACAGTGACCATGGGGAACAAAAGTAGCCACCCTCCAGAAGAAGGAAGGACAGTGTCAGCACAAATTCAGAGATGAATAATGTGAAACCTCGCGCCACTACTCCAATTTAAGCAGCAGCTGAAATCTCTGTGGTCAGATATGTAGTATACAATTAATAATAAAAGCCGCGCTGTGTGAATGAATCTACAAGTGTCAGATATGGTAGATACTGGCCGTGAAGTAATGTGATGCAATGTGTAAAAAGTGTGAATGCACGCACCTCAGTGTGAATACATTGCTACAGAATATCCATAATGAAAAATCAAATACAATAGATATTAGCCGTGAAAAAATGTGATGCAATGTGAAAAGAATAACAGCTCGAAAAAACGCACGTGTATAACATGCACCTCAGTGCAAATAATAAATGGTTACAAAAATGTCCATGATCCTGGAACTTCAATAGTCCATTAATAGAAGATAAAACAGTGGATGTAAAGTAATCTCAGTCTCCTGTGACCAACAACAGAGAAATCTTCTGGAATGCACCTCACCTTTAGCAGAGAACCACCAGGGTCTGACTTTTGTAGATTCATTCACACAGCGCAGATTTTATTATTAATTTTATACAAATTCAGAGATCATTTGAGGATCTACAGCTGAGTGATACAAAAGTCAGCTAAAAAAAAATTGATTGTTAAGATAGTTGAATGTATTTTTAAGCGGTAACTCCTGAGCTTATAGTGCCATTTAAACGTCATTAACATACAGTGGAGAAACCAGGAATGTAATATTTTAATCCCTTACCTAAGTAAAAGTTTAAACTTCAAAAAGCATTTTTAAGTATGGTTTTTTTTATGCTCTGTGAATGGGAACATGTAACAATGTTAAAATAGGTGTTTTCCAAATTTGGCTGTGAATGTGGAAACACACTTTAACTTTACAGGATTGAGACCAAAAGTCTATTTTTCTGCAGTGCATTCCCTTCTATTTCTATGGGTAAACATTGAATTCTTCTACTTTCATTCCATGAGATTTATATTGCTACTTTTTAGAGACATGCTTCCATTTCTTTTTTTGCTTTTATTTTTCCACCAGCCTTCATGTGTGAGTTGTTTAGTGGCAGTGCTTTTCCTATTCACTAATAGAGTGTGTGCACTGTTATAGAGTTGGCACCCATTCATAATATTGTCTTTTAATAAATGTGCATGCACATATGTTGGCCACTATGCGCTATTGCACATTGTTTGTAGAATAATGACACTGAAGATTTAACGCACATAATCTTAAGACTGGTCATTGAGAGTTTAATGCATATACTCTGGAGGCTTGCCACATAGTGGTAAATGCATATATGTTAGAGACTGGTCATGGATGATTTAAAGCACATACTGGTACGGTAACTGGAAAGAGAATGCAGTGAGACTTGTCACTGAAGAGGGGTATAACTTGTTTAGGCGGGACAGAGGTGGGAGAAGGGGGGTTTGCATTTACGTAAAAATGTATCTTAATGTGCATATAAGGGACGATATCACGTCAAACAATGGGGAAGACGTGGAATCCTTATGGCTGACATCAATAAGGGTATCCATTGCAGGGACGAGTCTCTAATTTTGCCACTCTATAGATCATTGGTTCAACCTCATCTGGAGTACGCGGTCCAGTTCTGGTCACCAGTACTAAGAAAAGATGTCCTTGAGTTGGAAAAGGTCCAGCGGAGGACAACCAAACTAATTAGGGGTATGGAGGACCAGAGCTACGAGACGAGGCTACTAAATTTAAACATGTTCACATTGGAGGTGAGGAGATTAAGGGGGGATATGATCTCCATGTACAAAATGTTAAATGGTGATAGCAACATTGGCGATAAACTATTTAAAATTAACTCCATTACAAAAACTAGAGGCCACCACCTAAAATTGGTGGAAAAAAAATTCCAGCACAAGGGGCGAAAGGGGTTCTTCACAGTTAGAGCGGTTAGGGTCTGGAACTCACTGCCACAGGCGGTGATTTCAGCAAAAAACGTGGAATTGTTCAAGAAACTTTTGGATGATTTTTTAAGGGACCGTAATATACAGGGGTACAGTTACTCCTAGAACGAGATACTAATAGGTTGGACTTGATGGACTAATGTCTTTATTCAACCTCAAATACTATGTAACTATGTAAGTTAATGCGCATACATTGAAGGCCGATCACTAAGATGTAACTGCACAAATGATGAACACTGATCATTGTAAATACACATAATCTGGGGAAGGATTACTTTAAGGGTAATGCCGATGAACTGGTGATCACTATTCCACATAATTTGAAGATTGGTCACTGAGTGATGAATGGACATAATGTGGTAACTGGTCACTTAGGGGTTATTAACGAAAGGTGGAGACTAGTCACAGAGGGGGCTAATGCACATGCTCTAGGTGGCTGATTACTGTAGGGTTACTATTGAAACACTAGAGATGGGTCACTGAGGAGTTAATGTATATATGCTGGAGACGGGTCACTCAGGGATTATTGCACATACACTGCTGGTGTATAATTTGCTCTGTTTTCTGAAAGGGCTATTTATTGCTGGACTCTGCAAAGTTATGTGTGTTTGCTGGAGGAGTGACATTCTGTGTTATGGGGGTGGGATCTCGCTGGTAGGGTATGCTCTGTTAAATTAGTGACTGTAGGGAGAAACCCCCACTGAGTGACATAAAAATTGCTAGGTAGGTGACTGCCTCACCCTGCCTAGGTGGTAGGATGTGCCACACATTGGAAGCACGCCCCCAGTACTGCAGAAACAAGTGCTCTGGCTTATTCAAATCTCAAACAAATTGAGATGGAGAGAGAGTTTTGTGCTTGGCTTTTGAATGAGCCAGAGCACTCATTCTGCAGTCCTGGAGGCGCACTTCCAACGACCGGTGCATCCTGCTATTTAAGCAAGATTGGGAAGGGAGGGGATTGTATACCCACCTAGGAGATTTTCTGACAGGCTTTTCAGAGGTCATGCACCGCTTATAGGTATGTAATTACAAGCTTTAAAAATAAAAAAAAGACTGCAGCTTTTTTTTTTATGTTTTGGGGACTCTGGAATGCATGGTTAATTTACACGGTAATGCATGGTAAAGGTAAAAAAAAAACCTTTAACACTGTTTATGATGAAAAATATTTTGAGTTTATGATTATTTTATTTACACAATTTTTTTCTGTCACAGCTTCTGTTGGTATTCGTACAGTTATAGTACGTCAGCACAGCATAATTCTTAAGAAAGTCTACCCTCAGGCTGATTCTATACTCCGTAGTGAGCTCACTGAACAGCTGGCATCCCTGTTGAATTATTTTCTTGATGATTATGTCACTCAGTTGAAATCTGTGGATCAGCCATCTGACCAAGAACGATACAGTGCTCTTGAAACCGAGTATGTACAGAAGAGATCTGAACTGCTGACTCCGTTTTGTAAGTATTTTTGACATGGTACAAATTTCATGAAAGGTCTTAAGAAAATGTGAAACATATCAGCCATTTTGGAATGCCATGACCTTATGTTTTCTCTTCTGTTCATTGAAGGTCAAAGCCGGATCCATAGGATCTTCACCATATGGGTTTTATATTGCCACCTTCAGGAGTAGAACACTAGGCAAAGAGCAAAAAAGCAGCTCAGGGGCAGTCCCTGTTGGTGGTCAAACCCCCGACTGCAATAATTACCCAGTTTTTTTGCCTAGTGTTCAGGAGTTAGGACCTAGAAAATGATTTGTCCTCCTTTTTTTTGTTGGCTGTTGATCCTCAATCAAACTGCTACCTGGGTGACAGGCTATATAGATCGTGGTAGTCTCCGCAGGTAGCTCTATGATCGCACGCATTTCTTTACTACTTCGAGAGTGGCTGCGACATGGCTCCAGCTTCATGGAGTGGCCCGGAGTAAGGTCTTTTTCTGGCGACCGATTGTCTGAGGGTCGGTCACGGTAATGCACTTTGGGCCATCAGCACCTGAACTGCAGTCAGAGTCTTGTTGCTATGGGCTGAGAGGGTGTTCCTGCCCTGTTTCCCTTAGGTAAGTATGCTAGGAAGCATGAGGCTCTCGGTGCCTCGCTCCTTTTCAGGCCTGTTTTGTCTGCCTGGGGGTTACCTCTGCCTTAGTCACTGCCTTTCTCTGTGCTGGACTCCCCCCTCCTTTTGCCTTTATTCACTGTGGGCTGGAGGGGGCAGGGGTTGTTTTGCTTAGTGTGCTTGCTTTCCTCTGGTTACTTATGTTACTCCTCTGCTCTGTAGGAGCGGTCAGTGCCAGCAGCACGAGCTCAGTGGGCGGGATGTCTTGATGCTGTGACGGCCTCCGTCCTTATACTCTGCTTCACTGGGGAGCTGGATGTCCGTGGTGACATTCGGCAGGCAGGGAACTACTCCCACTGGTCCCACTGTGTATAGGCATCGCTTTGTGGCCGACATTTTTACTGAGGGCCTTACAGTGGGACAGTTCTACAGGGGGTGGATTTGCAGTGACTGCCCTTTTTCTCTGCTAGTGTGGCTCAGCATTGTGTGCAGCTCCTCTCTGCGGCCCGATTCTGCGTGAGTCCGTGTAGCTTGGGGGTGGTAAGTCCCTGCTGACTGCACATTTGCCTGGGTGTTGGTGTCAGAATGGCGGACACACATAAGTCGAGTGCCTGACGGTACTGGGGACGGGTCTCGTTCGCTTTCCTGCTCTTAATCGTTTGTGGTCTCTTTGATGTTGCCACTTAGGCTGAGTCGCTCTGTCCCACTTGCAAGTCCTCCCTAGCGCTGCAAGGCACGTCTACGCCCAGGCTCGGTTTCCTCTGATAGCGAGGAGGAAGTGCTGGTGGCAGTCAGGGAGACACTTAAGATTTGACACCTACAGGAGTAAGCGATCTTCTAGGGTTTTCCCTTATGATCCTTTATTTGATTACTTTATCTCGGACAAGAACAAGTCAGCAAAACTTTTTAGTGGCAGTGGGAACTGGCGCCCATGGCAGCAGAAGTCCTTGAAGCCCTCTAATAAGTCTTCCCCAGCATGAAGGTGCTCCCCCACCGAGGAAGCCGAAGGTGTGGGGAGGTTTCATGCTGCTGTTTGATTGCGGACAAGTGTGTCCAAGAAGTGGTTTCTTCTGGATACAGGATCAAATTCTTGTCTCGTCCCCCAGAGCTTTTTTTTTCGCTTCTAATCTAAGGCTTTCTCCAAAGCGGCTGGCAGACCTACACTCTGCCGTCCAGGTCTTGCTCGATCAGGGGTTGATTGTTCACGTGCCCTCTTCCGAAAGGTTCACAGGGTTTTATTCCAATCTGTTTATGGTTTCCAAGAAGGGCAGCGTTCATTCCATACCGGATTTGAAGGCCCTGAATGCCTCGGATGGAGTCGGTTTGGTCGGTCATGGCTTTGCTGCATCTGGGGGATTGTCTATCCACATTAATGATGCCTATCTTCATGTGCCCTTCTGTCGCTCTCACCAGCCCTTTTCCACGCTGCAGTCTGGGACCTTTGTGTGGACTCTGCAGCGGACCTGTAAATTAATCTGTCTGATTCTACAGCATGAAATTCTGTTGAAATGGAAAAGGCTTCTGGGGTCCTTGGACAACGTTTTTTGCCTGTCCCATCAGGCCAAGGCTTCCTTGGTATGGTGGCTGCGCTCTCCAATGTTACAGTTGGGGAGATATTTTCTCCCCTTACGTTGGAAGGTGGTCACGATGGATACCAGTCTGTCCGGGTGGGGAGGGGCTCTAGGTGTTCTTACAGCTCACAGGTTGTGGAATGTGGAGGAATCCAGGTTGTCCATTAATGTTCTGGAGCTACGGGCGATATTCCTGCGCCTTCGATGGTGGACAATCGATAATATGAAATCACCTGCACTCCATACAGTGTACAGACTTGAAAAAGAGGTTGGTGCTTGAAGTGACAACACGTATGGCGCCGTGTCAGATACAGTCCATAATAGAAGTCACCAGCGCTCAATGATATGTGCAAGAAGTAAAGCACTTTTTATTGAATCGTCACATGAGTCAAACAGCCAATGTTTCGGGGCCACTCAGGGTCCCTTTTTCTGGACGACAAAGGTCACTATGTCGCCCAGAAGAAGGGACCCTGCGTGGCCCCGAAATGTTGGCTGTTTGATGCATGTGACAATTCAATAAGAAAGTGCTTTACTTCTTGCACATATCGAGTGCTGGTGACTTCTATTATGGATTTGATGGTGGACAAGTTTTCTCAAAGTTCATCCAGTCCGAGTTCAGTCGGGCAACACCTCCACCGTGTTGTACATCAATCACCAGGATGGCACAAAGAGCTCAGCAGCAGCACGAGAGGTGGCTCAAATCCTTGCGCCATCCCTCAAGTCCACCGTTCATATTCCGGGTGTGGAGAACTAACAGGTGGATTATCTGAGCCATCAGGGTCTGGATCAGGGAGAATGGTCACTTCACTGGGAGGTGTTTCATCACATCTGTCTTCGGTGGGGCGCGCGCTAGATGTAGATCTCATGGCCTCCAGGGTTAATCGGAAGGTTCCGCTGCAAGAACTCAGGATCCCCTGGCAGATGCGACGGATGCATTGGTGGCTCAGTGGGACATGTTACCCCCGATTTATGATTTCCTTGCCTCAGGCTGCTTACTCCACTCTTGCAGAGGATTGAGTTGGAAGAGATTCCTGCCATCCGGTTGGCTCCGGATTGGCCTCATCAAGTCTTGTATGCACACGTGGTTCATCTTCAGTTGTGCCAGCATCTTCTTTGGCAGCGGACAATCTTCCATCCTGCTAGCTGGCTTTGACGGCCAAAACCCAAAGTGCTGAAGGTCATGCTGCTGGCAGTGACCGCTCCCACAGGGTCTTTCTGCAGTGATTTCCACAATGTTGCAGGCTCGTAAGTCTAGTTCTCCATCGATATACTATTGGACATAAAAGTAAGACAGAGCGCCTCCATAGTGTAAAAAGATTATTTATTTGGTAAAACACGCAAGCAAAAAGTTCTACTTACACTATAATCAGTGATCACAAGCATAAAGGAAGCGTTGAAATATAAAATCGCTAGCAGGGAAAGTCTGAAGGGAGATCCAAATCAGCATCCTCTGCTCCCGTGAGTATTAGAATGGTCTACGCCTTTCAGGGGCACGCCCCCTTCATCAGAACCTAAGGAAACTCTCCTGAGTCCTGTTCTTTTAACAGAACGATGACCAATCACAAGAGGTTTTGTCTTTTAGCAATGGTGTTTGGGCCAATCTCCGGTAATTGAGATTCCTGCTGGCTTCCGTCTAACTGACAGATGGATGTTTTTAATAAGACCTAATCTTTAATCTAAGCGAGTCCTAAAAGTCGCTCTAGTGTTGGCAGCCTAGCTTCTAAGCCCACTGGCAACTTTATATTTCATGCATATTCAGGACTTTTTCACTTGATTTGCAAAGAAGTGCAAGTGAGTGAAAATTCATACAGTACCAAATCTAAAGATATACTCCGCATATATATAATCTTATTGCGGTATTGATATGGAGGCAACATTCAATTACATTACTGCCTCAGAATAAGATGAATTAACAGACTTTGGATAAACAAAATAACAATTACATGCTAAATAGCCAAACATTGTAGGCACAATTTTGATGCATAAATGGTTAGTGTTCTTCCTCCATATGCGGTATTGATATGGAGGCAACATTCAATTACATTACTGCCTCAGAAAAAGATGAATTAAACAGACTTTGGTAAACAAAATAACAATTACATGCTAAATAGCCAAACATTGTAGGTACAATTTTGATGCATAAATGGTTAGTGTTCTTCCCCCATAAATATTTCTAATGGCCTATTCATTCATATGGTGTACAGTCACCTAGAAGGAGAAATCATTTGATTTAGGACCCCAATATGGGTGTAGATAGACCGATCAAAAATGATTAGTTTTAGGCCCCCCCATGTCAACATATATTTATAAAAACAAATAAAAATATATAAATAAGAGTATATTGGTTAAAACCGTTTTATCAATCTTTTAAAAAAATTATTATATAAATGTGTTTAAAAATATATATATGATACAAATTTATGATTCGGCACGATCATTTCACAAGGGGTATGGGCATTGTGTATCTTCATACTAAGTGAATGTAACTTCATTTTAAAATATTACATTGTGAAGATTAAATATTTAAAAATTGTGCTGACATAATTTTAGTGGGCTAGTATCGTTGATCTCGTACAAGCCAACGAAAAACACATATTCACATTGGGTAAAAGGATCATGATCACCAATGTAATGTTTTTTGATAAATATACATATATACAAAAGGGGATCAAATTGTTTTATCAGTTGAAAACACTATTAGAGAAAGAGATGTTACATTGGTGGGATGCCGAAATGTTGAAACAATATATTAAAGGCAATCTAGTCCCCAGAGGTCTGCGCATCTCCAATAGATGCAATTTTTTTTAAACAGACCTACTGGAAAAGTGGGACAATTTT